TGTGTGTGTGTGTGTGTGTGTGTGTGTGTGTGTGTGTGTGTGTGTGTCCCTTTCTGGCTAACACGAATTTAGCAGCTTCCCATCCCTGTGCCTTCCACCATGATTCTGCTTCACCTTTGGCCCAGAGCAATGAAGTCCACCTACCATAGACTTAATCTCTGGAACCCTGAGCTAAAATAAACTTTCCCTCCTAAGTTGTTCATGTGGGATATTTTGAACATGAAAAGTTGACTAACACAGGGAGGAACTGGGAACAAAATTGACCAAATTACTGTTATAATGTATGCATGTACGAATATTTAGCAACCAATTCCACTATTATGTAATTAAAATGCACCAATTAAAAAAGGAAGAAAGAGGGCTGGGTTTGTGGCTCAGTGGTAAAGTGCTTTCTTGGAATGGATAAGGCACCTGGTTCGATTCTCAGCACCACATAAATAAATAAATAAATAAAGGTTCATTGACAACTGAATATATTTTTGTAAAAAAGGAAGAAAGAAAACACTATACCAGTGAAACATTAGTGTGTCCAGAATGGCAAACCCATGGAGAAAGAAATCCAGGAGACCAGAGGTCACCTGTATGGATAAGAAGTGGACCAGTGGTCACCCTTGGGGTGAACCAGTCTTCCTCCATGGGGACAGAAAGTGGGCTAGTGGTCACCTGTGGAAACAGTAAGTGGACCAGTTTCCCCCACATTGATATGGGAAATGAACTGGTGTCACCCTTGGAGATAGGAAGTGGACCTGGTTACCCTTGGTACTGGACCAGTGATCAGAGGAGACTGGAAGTGACTGGCAGTCACCCCAGAAAGTGAACCAGTAGAGATGGTAAGTGACCAGAGGTCAACCCAGGACATGAACTGGTGAGTTCACCCACCAGGAGATAGGAAGAGGTCTGGAGATGGAAGCAGGAAGTGGACCTCGGTCACCCAGCATTTGGAGAATGGGGGACTGCTTTTTAGGAAAGAAGCTGCTTAATTTGGGTGAACGTAATCCAACATTAGATGGTGGTAATGGCGGTCAGCATGAACCTCCCATTCTTCCGCTTGTGAATTATTTCCTGGAGGCTGTTAAAATCAGCTCCATGGGCTGGAGTTGCAGCTCAGTGGTAGAGTGCTTGCCTAGCTCTGTGAGGCCCTAGGTTTGATTTTCAGCACTGCATATAAATAAATAAAAGGTCTGTTGACAACTAAAAAAATGTTAAAAAAAAAAAAAAAAGCAGTTCCATTGTGCAGGGTCCTTTTTATATGTACACCCACCCCCACTCCCCCCACCCTGGCCCAGGGCATGTTTTACTGTGAGGGCTGTGAAGAGGACGCTGGTTCTGGAGGGTGAGGGACAGCAGCTGCTCTTGGGTGCTGTCAGTGGGCCAGCCCCCTCTGCGGAGGCTCCAGGCCAACATCCTGTCCAACCGCGTCTCCGCGTCTGGTTTCTCTTTGAAGGTGGCTGTGAGCAAGCCGGGGAGGTCTAGGGAGAAAAGGTTGCCTCTGCCCCCAGAAGACGCAGGTGAGTGGCCAGGAGGCCAAGCCTGTTTCCCTGTTCCAAGGACCTGGACTGTCTCGGGCCAGCTTAAGCAAGGAGAGGGAAATCATCGGGGAGAGAGAGGCTCCTGGCTGAAGCCCTTCAGGGCCCCTGGGAGAGTGTCCTAATTTCTAGAGATGGGAGGTACTGGGCGTTGTCGCCCACAGCTGGTGGGGCAGCGTGCCTGTCATCAGCCCACGGGCACGAAACCAGTCCGGCAGCCTGCCTTCCTTCCCGAAAGTTCTGGGACCATGCCTTTCCTTTAGTCTCCCTGCAAGGACAGCCAACTTAGTGCTTATGGCAGGGCCACTGCCAATTGCAGAGCCAGCCTCTCTGTAGGGAGCTGGACATGGGACGGTGGTTTTCCTGGGACACTCACTCGCTGCTCACTCGCTGCTGGCATCCCACGCCTGTGCGGTCAGGGCCCGCTTAGTTCCCAGTACCTAGTGGGAATCCCAGGCCAGCGGGATTCAATAAGACCCAGTCTGCAACTACAGCCCGAAACGCCCACCGTGGAGGCCAGCAACTGCGCATGTGCCTCACGCGGCCATCCCTTTGGAATTATGGACAGTTAAACCGGACCTCTGGCTCCACCTACATGTACTTCTCGCCTGGAACCAGTTGTCTGGGCTCCAGGGCCACACAGTTCCAGGGCCCTGTGGCCCTCTTTAGTGGCCTTTCTTTTTCTTTTTTTTTTTTTTTAATATTTATTTATTTATTTATACAACATCTTTGTATGTGGTGCTGAGGATCGAACCCGGGCCGCACGCATGCCAGGCGAGCGCGCTACCGCTTGAGCCACATCCCCAGCCCCGGTGGCCTTTCATTTAGACCAGACTGGTGGAGTCAACTGGCCTCTGAAAGCAGAGACCTAAAAGGGAGGCTCTGCAGGTGGGCTCTAAGTTGATCTAACTGGGACCACCCTGTGGAAACCTGGGGTCCAGGATCCCTCTCTGAGCTGGCAACAGAGGAAAAACGGGGTTCTGACTGGAGGAGGGTGGGTTGGGGTCATGAGAGTAACCCAGCAGGCTAGGAGGCCATTGGATCAGAATTGATTCAAGGGAGGTTCTAGAAGTGTGGCAGGGGGTGGAAAAGTCTTCAATGTGGCCTTGGCAATGGGTGGCTGAGCTGGGCAGACAGGCTCTGGGGGGGCACAGGGCCAGTTGAGACCTAGGAGATTGAAATAGCGCATGGTAGTACAGCTCAATCACCTGCACACCCAGGCTCCTGGTGTGCTGGAGCCCACTCACCCAGAACCTGAGCACACCAAGCAGGCCTCAGACTCTGGACCAGGGTGCATGGTGGTGTGCGGCTGGGGGCTTGTGGGAGAGAAAGGAGGCTCAGCCTTGGTGTGTGTGTCCTCAAGTGCTGCTGAATTCCAATCATCAGGACACAACTCGTCCGAGACAGACAACAGTATCCAGTTTTCTTGGGTAGGTAGGAAAGACTTCCCTGGAAGAGATGTGGAATGCCATCTCTGGAAGAGGAACTAGGGCTTGCTGTTCACATAGTTTGGACAATGAATGGCCAGTGTGAAGCAAATATTGTTACTCACTGTATGACATGGGGAATAAGATCAAAGCACGGGCCAGGGGCTGGGGATGTGGCTCAAGTGGTAGCATGCTCGCCTAGCATGCGTGCGGCACTGGGTTCGATTCTCAGCACCACATAAAAATATAATAAAGTTATTGTGTCCACCTAAAACTAAAAAATAAATATTAACCAAAAGCAGGGGCCCAGGAAGGGGCCCCAAGACAGCACGGAGCTCCCACTGCCTCCCTTCCCTGTCTGCCCTGTGGACCAGCAGAAAAGACAGGGGACTATAGAGGC